TAGGTTTATATTCATTAATCCAGCCTTTCTATTCTGTACTGAAACAGATTAGAATCATGAAAATACCACTATGCGTGTACTTATTATATGTCAAAAATTATCATTTTTTGCGGATCAATAATTCACAGTATATTAAATCCAGATAGTGTCAATTGATTGAATATTGACTGTTACTGGCTATTGATAATGCTGATATCAGTATGTTGACAGTTATTATAATGCAATATAGAACTTTCTCGTCTCAATGGTATTCTGAGGATAAAAAGTGTTGTCTTGTTTTCAGTTCAGATTTTTTTTCAAAGAAACCGATTTATATGTCATAATTTAATGGTCATTATACGAACGAACTCTCCTGTAACTATGACGATTCGTTTAATTACCAAAAAAAATGATTTGTTAACAGATTTTATTCATCAAAAGATTATCAATCGATACAAGTTATCAATCTAGACATAACATAATACAAATTACTTCAAATTAAGTCCGTGATCTTTTAAAGACAAAAAGTGAACAGCACTTTTTTCTGAACCAATTTATCAATGTTTCATGTTCTCAGTTTCCCTTACTATTATCCTCAATCAGTCTCTCCTGCCTTTTCTTAGAGTTAAGTTCTATTGGGTCTGATCTTTCCTCACTTTCTAATGCTTTTCAAGGAATAATAGTTCCCAGCGCTCCTCTTGCCTTTCCTGTAGTTAAAAATTTCCCTGCTTGCCTCTTGGCTTTTCTGTAGTTAAAGAGTTCCCTGCGTTCCTCTTGCCTTTCCTGTAGTTTAACAATTCCTTGCGTTCCTCTTGCCTTTTCTGTAGTTAAAGAGTTCCCTGCGTTCCTCTTGCCTTTCCTGTAGTTAAAGAGTTCCCTGCGTTCCTCTTGCCTTTCCTGTAGTTAAAGAGTTCCCTGCGTTCCTCTTGCCTTTAATGTAGTTAAACAGTTCCCTGCGTTCCTCTTGCCTATCCTGTAGTTAAACAGTTCCCTGCGTTCCTCTTGCCTATCCTGTAGTTGAAATTTTCCCTGCTTGCCTCATGTCTTTCCTGTAGTTAAAGAGTTCCCAGCGTTCCTATTGCCTATCCTGTAGTTAAAATTTTCCCTGCTTGCCTCTTGCCTTTAATGTAGTTAAACAGTTCCCTGCGTTCCTCTTGCCTATCCTGTAGTTAAACAGTTCCCTGCGTTCCTCTTGCCTATCCTGTAGTTGAAATTTTCCCTGCTTGCCTCATGTCTTTCCTGTAGTTAAAGAGTTCCCAGCGTTCCTATTGCCTATCCTGTAGTTAAAGAGTTCCCTGCGTTCCTCTTGCCTTTAAATTTTCCCTGCTTGCCTATCCTGTAGTTAAACAGTTCCCTGCGTTCCTCTTGCCTATCCTGTAGTTGAAATTTTCCCTGCTTGCCTCATGTCTTTCCTGTAATTAAAGAGTTCCCAGAGTTCCTCTTGCCTTTCCTGTAGTTAAAATTTTCCCTGCTTGCCTCTTGCCTTTTCAGTGGTTAAAGAGTTCCCTGCGTTCCTCTTGCCTTTCCTGTAGTTAAACAGTTCCCTGTGTTCCTCTTGCCTATCCTGTAGTTAAACAGTTCCCTGCGTTCCTCTTGCCTATCATGTATCAAAGAGTTCCCTGTGTTCCTCTTGTCATTCCTGTATCAAAGAGTTCCCCGAGTTCCTCTTCCCTTTAATATAGTTAAAGTGTTCTCGGAGTTCCTATTTCCCGTGTAATTAATGAGTTCCCTGTCCTTCTTTTAACTTTCTCATAAGTTTTCAGTTCTTGCGTTCATCTTGTCTTCCCTGTAGTTATAGAATTCCCTGCGTTCCTCTTGCCTTCCATGTAGTTACAGAGATTCGTTTTCTGTGGTCTGATTGAATCTTGCCTGGTTTGATGTTGAATCAGTTCTGCTGTCTTCTGTCTTCCTCTTTTTTCTTTTTTTTTTTTTTTTAGTTTCCTCAGTTCCAGTCGAGTTTGCCCATTTAATGTCATTTTAGTTCCTGTTGTGGCGGGTTTCCTAAAATATTCAATATCTTCCTTCTGTCTTGTTGAGTGTCCTATCTGTGCTTGTTTTTATTCTTTTGTTTTGGTGTCTTTTAAGTTCCTGTTGACTCCCTGTTTCCTAAGCTGCTCCGTTCGTCATTAGCAGTCATAATATCACTTAAGTAGCGACTGTCATCTAAGCAGTTAAGTTTGTCAAACGTTGTGCATACCAACCAATATAAACATATCGTTGTTGATTAATAAGTGTAAATATTGGGCGGTTATGAATATGGATAAAAGAATATAATCGCCAGAAGTAATGTGTAAGATGATGTTTTGGTGATTTTACCCTAATTTTAACCATACATGCTACAAAAAATATATTTAACACAAATAGAATAACGTTTTGTCATGCTATAAAAACAAACATTACACATCGGAAATACATTTCGAAATACGTAACTACATTGATATGGTTTCCCATGTATTTTATAATCAGCTTCTGAATATTGATAACTATAAAAGCGACCGGAAGCTACAGTGAAGAAACAGAAAAAGAAAGGAAAATTACGTATCAAGGAATAAGGAGCAAAGTCATTCAGAAATACAGACGTAAAGTTACAGCACTCTGTTGAACCTCGGCGTACAAAAAATATCCCAGATGTAAGGCATAATGCATCCAATAATTTGTGATGTGTGAGCAGAAGGTATTTGTGTGTCCAGGGTTCAATCTATTTGAGGACAATCAATCAAATAAAAAAAGTCATTTTTCATACGAAAAAAATATGAACAAATAACTTTCATGATATTTCGTCGCTCCAAGATACCATATTCGATCACATGTCAGATGGGTGCTTCTCAAGTATATAATGTTACTGTTTTGCTATTAACAGGTGAATAACTCTCCTGTTAGTGAATGCTACTTTTTACTCTAGAGACACAAATACAGCCGTCTATCTTCATTATGACACCCTACAGTCTCCCATCCCCTACCCCAAATCGAACCGACAGAAAATCTAAAATAACACGCTGATAAGTGTAAGGATGAAGAACCTTTCATCAGTCTGGTTATTTAAAACAAATGGTACAATTACTGTTTAAGATATCATTAATATTTATTTGTATCCGAATATTTCATAGGTATGACTATTAAACTATAACTAACGGCTTATCTAATTTTGTTATTAAAACATTTAGAATATATTAACATATGATTAAAATCTGACATTTTCATGATTCTTTACTGATTCATCTGTAAAATCTCAATTGATATCATCACTGAAGCAAAACGTGACTTAAAGATGGACCAACCTAACTCGTTTTCATCCGGAATTTTATTTTTAAATGATAAATAACAAAACCATACGTCCATTTTGGAACAGTAATCAATACTTCCATTTTCATTAATGTCGTACTCCGCATGAAAAAGATACCACTGGTTTCCTAATACTTTATACACAATTCCAATAAAAATTCCATGTGATCATTAATTATAATGGTATTTTGTGATTTTATTTTTGAGTACAAGATTAAGATTGTAAAGATTTATTATGCTTTTTCGAACGTTTAGCAAGCGAATTATAGGGAATTTTGAGAAGAAATATCCTACTTGTGGCAAAAGGAGCTACATTGAAAATGTCCGGGTATCAAACAAAAACTTGGCGTGTGTGGTTTTTTTCTCTCTCTCTTCTGCTTCTTTTATGCCGCATGTACAGCGGAAGAAAAGTTCCAAGAAATAAAAAGAGAAGAAATATCTAACATATACACACACACGCTCTCACGATAAACTAAATTGCAAGGAAGAAAGAGTTACCTCCCTTAAGTGTATATATTCCCGGTCATACATAAACCAAGAGAGCGCCGAGAGCATTTGATGCACAGTTAGAATTTAACATCAGAGTTAAGATAGAGTAAATTCTGTAAAAACTGGTAAATTCAATTACATCAGTGAGTCAGGGAAATCTTTATAAAAGTAAGTGACTATAAACCAAAAAATACATATGACATTAACCCAACACTGTGGCTACTTGGTGTAGTAGTGAAATGCTGATAAGAAAAGCATCAACTGGTAAATGATTCTCCATAATACTACTTAAGATACATGAACCTATCCCTTAATTAAATATCAAATATTACAAATAATCTATAAGTGACATTGCTGGAATTTAATGTCAATAAATTATTAGAAATAACCTGAATCAGCTGCTTGATTTGGTGATGCATTTCTATATAAATTACAACAGAAAACTTCAGCAAAACTTTCGAAACAAGTCTGAAGTTTTCCAATGATAGGAATTTTCCTTCAATTTGATTGAAGGAAGTTCTGGTAATTCATTGTTATATGTCCTACAAGTCCATCAAAGTTACAACATATACATTACGTATGGTTCCGCATGTAATTCTCCATAATAATATAAATGTCTGGACAAGTAGTTAACTCCCTTGAATCTTATAATCATCCATAGACTTAGGTGAAAATTACAAAAGCTTATCCAAAGGTCTAAAATTAGCAAAATCCCTTCTGTTAATTGTAATTTGACACTGAAGATACTAATAGATTGTGAGGAAAATTAAGCCCAACAGATAGATGTAAGTTAGAAACAAAATCAAAGATGAAATAATATTAAAGAATATGATGTTCCAGTAAATTACCAACATACCAATGAGAACAAATAGTGCTGCTTTCCCGTGCGAGTTGTTTACTGATGAGATAAAAACCTACAACCCAATTAACAAACATGCAGGATTATTGTAAACCTCGGGCACAACCGTGTTCACCAATCAAATAGCTTGAAAGGATAGATATATCTGACCTTGCAACATGCAAGACCATAGTTACACAGCCGATGCCTGAATAATCGAAAATCTGATAAAAAATATCTTAACTTGTTTTCATTTGAAAAGTGATTCTTTCACAAATTTTCATGTAAGCTCACAAAAGGCTCACAATAATATTACAAAAAAATTCAACTCATTTCATAATTCACTTATCAAATGGAAATTCAAGTAAAATACTATATAGAAAGTGTAACATATAGAACAGAGATCATGTAATCATTTAGGAACGTTTTATTCACAAACAGTAACATTTCAAACTTAATGCTGTGTACCTTCCCTGTACACATGTTTGAAAATTCCTGTTCCCAGGAAAACAAAAATTAGATTTCCAGAGTAACTTTAACACCTATAAAGCCAATATGTCTTCTTCTTTACACTGTTTGGATATTGGAAAATCAGATTTGTTGTGATTTAATTAATAATTAAACTCAACTATAGCTGTGAAGGACTAATTTAAAACCTCCATAATGAATATATTCTGAAAGAAACTTTCATCAGTATTTTTAACAAAAAAGATCATATTTAAGCTTACTATAGTGATTATATTCAATCAGAATATCAGACACTTGTGTAGCTGAGTTCTTTTTTTTTTTATTTCTGAAACCTAGATTTACATGTAAGAGAATTCATTTCATTCTGACTGGCTAACTGGAGAAAAAAGGATGAATTGACGTTGTACTCATAAAGTCATGCTTTATAAACTGTAGATCTTCATCTCTGTGACTTTTCTACGTAAGGAGACATAAATAAAAAAATGAAATATAAATTATTAGAACTATCACAATGACTGTAAGAAAATCATGTTGTCATCTTTCTTTCATTTCTTTTGTCCATCACTAAAATTTCATAACACTTTTACAATTACTTCTTTTTTGATGGGAATTCTGGCAGAGTTGGTAAAATATCTTCTATTCTTAGCAGGAGCTCTGCTGTCTCCATTTTAAAGTCACTTTCTTTCCATATGTTTCTAAGTTCTTTTAATACAAGGTGTAAATGAGGTCCCTTTTTCACATTACACTTCAAAAGGTCAGCTCCTCGCACTGGAAATGGGGGTGGGGTCCATAGGGAGGGATCAGCACATAGTTTCCCCTCACTTTTATACTTCATCAGTTCACAAATTCTTTCTGTTGTCTTTTGCTGTTGTCCTACACTATCACATACCAAGTCCTTGTAAAATTTTATAGGGTTTCCTCCATCAGGAAGATGACGATTTTCCACTATAAATAATCCTAGGCGCAATTCATCTGCAGATAACTTGAGTCTCTCGTTCATATCATACACCTGGAATTCAGCAGATTCTTATCAATGTAAATTATTGATCAAAGTATAGTATTAGTTCATTTGGATATTACATTTAATTATCAGTATTTTAGAAGAAAGTTTTTTTCTCTAAGTTTTTTAATGTATCAAAAAATCCACTTACTCCTGGACTTTTCTCATTGATCTTTTGACAATTTTTTATCAGTCTATCAATTTGAAGACAAGACAAAATGTTTCGAAATATAGACATTAAATTTTTTCATCTTCCATTAAAACTGCAAAATCTTGTTTACTAGATGAAGTAAAAACCTAAAACTTCATGTTAAAACACAATAGACAGAGATCTTTATTGTACTTTAGACTTGTATCATTGAGAGCATCATGTGACTTTGAGGAGAGTTATCATTTTGAAGGTAATGATATTTCAGTGAATTTTTTGGAGAAGCCACATCGTCTAAGCAGAGTATTCATATGATCTTGTCCCTCAAATAACCAAATAACCAACCAAACAAAACATATACCTCTTGTTCATTGTTAAACAAAGCAGACATCCTTGTGACAGGCAGTGGTTGCAGCCCTTCTGAGTTATGACAGACCGTCTTGAAGTGGTCTAGATTAGTGGAGGTTGGCAGACCTGAAAGTATTGTAGTAGTGCTAAGTAGAAGTAGTAAAACAGCTCAGGATACAGCACAACTTAGTTACAGCAACAAGGACCTAACTACAACATACCAGGTCATTGACAAAAGGTCTCCTGCACTAGGTTACAGCATCATCAGCTAGCTTTCCTCAATGGACTTAAATACAGTATAAGATAAATGACATATAATGTATAAAGGGCAAAATTAGGGTATAATGGACAGAATTACACCATAATGGGCAAGGTTACTGTATATTTTAAAAAGATTACAGTATAACAGACAGGATTATAATATAATGAGCAGAATTACATTATAATGGGTGAAAGATATGTTCTATTAGAATGGATTGAATTACAACAAAATAGATAAATCCAAAGCATCATGGGTAATATCACAGAGGTGAACTACATCATAATTGACTGATTTACAGTAAAACAGGCTAGGTTGTTGTAAAATAATTCAAATTCAGAATAACTAACAATATTGGGCAAGGTAACACCATAATGGGCTTGGTTACATCATAATCATCAGCACAGCTTCATAATACATGTACAGGTAGTGAACTAGATTTTATCAAAAAGGGCCGGGTAACGCCATACCAGGCAAGGTTATAGCATAATAGGCTACATTACACCATACTGGACTCGGTTACACCATACTGGGCAAGATTACATCATAATAGGCTACATTACACCATACTGGACTAGGTTACACCATACTGGGCAAGATTACATCATAACAGGCTACATTACACCATACTGGACTAGGTTACACCATACTGGAAGGTTATGTTATAATAGGCTTCATTACACCATACTAGACTAGGTTACATCATACTGGGCAAGATTACATCATAACAGGCTACATTACACCATACTAGACTAGGTTACACCATACTGGGCAAGGTTAATGCATAATAGGCTTCATTACACCATACTAGACTCAGTTACACCATACTGGGCAAGGTTATAGCATAACAGGCTACATTATACCATACTGGACTAGGTTACATCATACTGGGCAAGGTTATGGCATAATAGGCTACATTACACCATACTAGACTAGGTTACACCATACTGGAAGGTTATGGTATAATAGGCTTCATTACACCATACTGGACTAGGTTACATCATACTGGAAGGTTATGGTATAATAGGCTTCATTACACCATACTGGACTAGGTTACACCATACTGGGCAAGGTTAATGCATAATAGGCTTCATTACACCATACTAGACTCTGTTACACCATACTGGGCAAGATTACATCATAACAGGCTACATTACACCATACTGGACTAGGTTACACCATACTGGGCAAGGTTACAGCATAACAGGCTACATTACACCATACTGGACTAGGTTACACCATACTGGGCAAGGTTATAGCATAACAGGCTACATTACACCATACTGGACTAGGTTACACCATACTGGGCAAGGTTATAGCATAACAGGCTACATTACACCATACTGGACTAGGTTACACCATACTGGGCAAGGTTATGGTATAATAGGCTACATTACACCATACTAGACTCGGTTACACCATACTGGGCAAGGTTATGGTATAATAGGCTGCATTACACCATACTAGACTCGGTTACACCATACTGGGCAAGGTTATGGTATAATAGGCTTCATTACACCATACTAGACTCGGTTACACCATACTGGGCAAGGTTATGGCATAATAGGCTACATTACACCATACTAGACTAGGTTACATCATACTGGGCAAGATTACATCATAACAGGCTATGTTACACCATACTTGACTTGGTTAAATCATAATGGGCTATGTTACTGCATAATGAACAAGAAAATAGCATTAAAGTAATAACCCAGTGAAATGGGCTTGGTGAATGCAAAATCAGCTAGATTACATCATAATAGGTTTGAATATTTGACTATGTCACTGTATAATGGACTAGGTTACAACCAATTTTTCAAATAGAAATTCATTCTGTATAAGGTAAATAACCTGCAGTTTAGTATTTCTTTTTTTTTTACATATTAATACCATAATTTGTACGAACCCATTAGCTTTTGATTGTTATTCTGATACCCAAGGTTGAAACCTGGAGAACCTACCCATGTATTGTGGCATACCAACATCATACATAAGAGGAAGAATATCTGCAGCATGGTTACCACAGAGTATTTTCTTCAGCTCTGTCCAAATCCTCTCACCAGATATACCTGTTGAAATATTCCCTCAAATAAGTACAGTATGATTGTGTACTGCCTACTATCTTATCATTGATGATTATTTCCAAATGTTATTTTCTTTTCTGTTAAAATATACAGCTGGTTGACAGATCAACATTGTCCTCAGTAGATCTTTCCAGTATTCAATACAAAATACAGGTGATCTGCCAGTGTTTCTCGAAAAAGCGAGCTTATAAATGTATTTTCAATGTTTCTCTTCTACATCAACACTACTGATGGAAGAGATCATGTTAAATTGTAATAACATTTACAATAGCAGGTAAACACATTTTGATGTTAAAAATAATTGAAATGTATGTCCTTAAACTACTGAACAATATATTGAGGTATTGAGAAGTTTTGGTATGAAATGCATATTTTGTTTCCACAAACATATAAATAATTTGAAGTCAAATGTAAAAAACTGTTTGGTTGAATCAGAAACAGAAAAAACATGTTCAAGAATTCAACTTGAGTATGTTAAAATTATATAAAATCTATAAAAATATTCAAACAGAGAATTTTAGTTTCTTAATCAGTAAGTAATTATCAAATTTTCAAGTCTCAAATACTTCAAACCTGACATATTTTCATAATTTAATAACAAAATTACAAATCTGGGATGACAAGAGGAAACTTACACTTTAAACCTCCCACATTTTCAGCAATGGCTTTCAGCGTATCTGGTAAATGGTTATCAGGACTTTCTGATATTCTCCCATAGAATCTGTCAAATTACATGAATTAAACACATCTTTCACCTGCACCATAAATGAAATTCACTACATAAACACAGAATTCCTTTAGCTCATGTATTCACCATACCAAATTACTTCTTCCATCTAACCATAATCAACAAGGAATTACGAGGAAGGTCTCAAAATCTAACACTATTTTCCTTTGGAGGGCTTCACCTCTCTAACACCAGCTTGGAGGACCAAATATGGAACTCATCATCTGCATTTATACAACTTTGCATCTTCACTTCATGGAAGGTCTGTATAAATTATTCAGAACATACAGAAAAAACAATTTTGTCAAAACGTTATGCCATTGCATAAATAACATAACATCACCTGGGTTAAGTGAGATAAAAACATAGAGACATAATGTCAACAAGATGTGGGCTAGCCAAATTACAATTTCACAATTTCCATTTTCCCTATAGCTAGCACCAGAAAGATACAACACTGTTTGGTTTTTGTACATGCCTAAAATATGGTTATGTACTAAATTTTTCAACCTGCATATCAATGCTTACCTAAAATAGCGGAGAATCCTGAGATAATCTTCTTGTATTCTCTGTTTTGGATCCCCGACAAATTGAACTTTCCTGTTCTGAAGATCCTGTACACCACTAAAATAATCATGGACTGTGCCGTCAAACCCTGCATGACACAAATAATTGTAATTGTGAAACTGTAAAGCTGTATCCAGTAATATGTCTAATGCTATTTATATAGGAGAAATGCTGGATGTTAAGATTCTAAATACCAGCAGTTTTAAAATGTTTTATGAAATCTTGGGAACCTAACAGATATTTTTGATACTTCAAATGTCAACATAAGGGGGTTATTCCACACAAAGCCTATCAAAATTAATACCACAGAGCAGAACAATAGTCACCTCTTCCATGCCAAAGAAATTTTTCTTTACAAATGTAATATCAAAATGACAGTGTTTAGTTACAAATTTGCACCTATGCACCTGAATATTTCAACATAGCTCATTATAGGTATAATCATAGTCATGTTATTTTCTTCTTTTTTTTCTCACAAACTATTTAATTATCTTTTTAAGAAGAATCCTCTTTCCCAAATATCAGATCTAAAGTAATGTCAAATACATTTACAAAAAGTCCTGCAAGAAGTCCAACCAACTAAGATGTGTAAAAATTTGTTATATCTGGTATCTACATCATTGTCATTTCAATTTTCTTTGAGAGAAATATAATGACACTTTATCACAAGGATCTCTGAATGGATCTAAGATTAATGTATTCCTTTTCGATGATTAACGATTACATTTATATTTCAATGAGAAGGGCAGATAATCCTTTCAAACATTATTAGCAATACATGATTAAATCTACTTGCACATGGCACACAAGGACATAACCAGGAGAAAGGAGATACACAACATGTTGTTTTCATGTAAAATTCTGCAATTTCACAAACCTAGGAACATGGCATTGATTGTGAGATCTCTGCGATTGGCATCAATAAGCCAGTCTTTTGTGTATTCAACCTCTGCACGGCGTCCGTCAGTCACCACATCAATACGCAGCGTGGTCACCTCAAAGTTCTCCTAGTCATCAAAAGGAAAGTGTAGATTATTACAATTTAATACATACAAGCAAGACATGGAAATCTATTTCAGGAGAACATAATAAATATTGCATTAATGTCTTCCCAAATGTTTACACAAATGATGCTTAAAGGTTCTATAGTATTTGAAGAACAACAATTGGATCAATTTCTAAAATTGAGGATGCTAAATCAGATCTAAACTAGCAACAAATTTCAACAAAGTTGTTTTTTCAGGATAACAATGTATAGGATGGTCGCTAATTTTTTTTCATTGTTCTCCAAAAGAGTAATTCTTGTATTATAGTGTGGAAACTACATGTTAGGATCATCTGTCAAAATCTCTCATTGCTGTCATAATTCATCTAATCTGTTGTATAAATTGTTTTATTTTAACAGACACACCCTCTTTTACCCTCAACAATCAGAACTTAATACAATTTTATACATGTACACAAGTGATTTAAATTCTCACCTTGTCATTGATTCGAACACTGACTGTACCATGCTTAACTCCCTTTTCATTGAACATACGAATGCCCTCTTTAGTAAACATTTGCATCATTTGATCAGGGGTAGCTGTGGTGGCGAAATCAACATCAGATGGCAAAATATCCAGAAGCAGATCTCGCACTGCACCTCCTGCGATCCTCAGCTCATAGTTGTGTCTTTCAAAAACACTAATCAATTCCTTCAGTTCTGGTGTAAACATACTGTGAAACTTTGGAGTTTCTAATTTCATTGTGGATAGATTGCCCTTCCACTTAGTTTCTCTGGTGCAATAATTCACACAATGTTTCAATTGATATGCGTAATATTTTCCTGCCTGTTGGAATATACTCTTCACAACATTTCTGAAAACGACTTGAGACATTTGCCTAAAAAAACAAAACAAAAAAATAATGATAAAGGAACAAGAATTATCAGCACACTATAATGCATTGATGAATGAGAGATCATAATTACTGCTTTTATTTCATTATGTATTACTATCAATTTTTCTTCTTTTTCTTATGTATTGTAACTGATGGTGGAAAACTAACTTTTGAACAATTATAACAATTAGATTTATTTCTAACACATTATGCCTTTCCTCCTATATTTTGTCAATTTACCACTCCTGAAGAATTGAGATTTGTTCTTATATACAATATTCTTCACAAACCTATGCCCAGTATTTCTGAATGTCATGAATAAACTTCTGTTAAAATATTCAATACAAGAACTATCATCTTTCAAACATTTCTCTTTTACAGTACACATATTACTTCAACATTACAGAAGCCCTGGAGTTGCTTCTGTCTGTTAAATACGAGCTTAAAATGACAATAAATAATTAAATTAGTTAAGTCAGTCTTGAAAGGAAGTCAGTTGATGTATCTTAAGAAGTTGCCCATCATAAATAACAGAAGAAACAAAACCATTCAACATTAATGAAAACGTCAAAAGTGATGCAATATAAAGAAATTTCCTATACCCGAGGCAATTAACATTTGTAAATCATTTTCTTCTGTTGAGTCAAGAATACTACTTTCAAAATTTTGATGAATCTTGTGAGGAGATACTTTGGGTCCCCAAAATTTGGACGAGTCCCACAAAGCGTGAGTAAAGGACTCAACAATTTAAATCCCCAAAATCAGTGTTGAGACAAATGGGATAACTACTTTTCTTTGTTCATTAAAGAAGTGAATATAATTTTGTATACACAGTATGATGCATAAAGATGTCAAATCTCCCGTTTTGGACAGGAACATCCAATTAACAATTACTGCACAGGGACCTGACAACACGGAAGTGGCATGTCCTGTTCCTCAAATATCGAACAAAGAACGCGATGTTAATCACTCGATCACATGCACACATATGTATAAGTCTCGCAGCACATTTATAATTAGTAATATGACAGACCTACATGGCTACAAATTATATCAAACTGTCTACGAATACACGAGTTGACAGGTCCCATATTCAACACAAGTAGAACAGTACAATAAATGACACTTACCCTTAGCTACAATATGTTAAAGTAACTTGTTGTGATCGGTATCACTTATTTAGTTGAAGAGGTATCGATGTATTACAAAAGCTTACGACACACGTGCTTGTGTTGTGAAACTTCAGGACATGTAGCAGAGAAATCGGATATCAGTGGAGAAAGTCAATGTCCCTAAAATGTTTCGGTAGACCGTCCGGTTTAAGCGTTTCACTAACTCAAAACAAACTGCCATCAAAACACTTCAAACACATCAGCTGATGCACTGCCATACGAATCACTTGGTCACGAAGAAGACTGTTGCATGTGTGTGAGTTATCTTTTCATGAAACCTAACTACTTTTTTTCTCAAATTTATAAACGTTGTAAGACTCTTCGTAAACATAATATGGCGACAACACATTGAACTGTTCAACATCACTCGAAAGGCATTGTTTAATAACTTAAAGTAGTCGTACAATCAAAATGTCACAAGGTTATGAATCATATACTTACTTATAGTTACTTATAGTTGATTTCCAGTACAGGAATTAAAATTCCTCTTCACCGGACTCGTTGTTGTTAATCAATGTAGTTCTGTCACTTCCATTCTTTTTTATATCTGCTCTGTAGCTGTAATACAGCTCCTGGTGTTTCCATTGTTTATCCAGGCGATTTTTGAATGTGTTAGTGTTGGGTGCGTTGACTACATATTCTGGTAGGTTGTTCCATACTTTCCATACTCTGTGAGAGAAGTAATGTTGCCTAAGTTTTGTTCTAGCTCTCTGGGGGTAGATCTTGTTTGAGTTTGTCCTGTTGCTACTCCTGCTTGCAGTGCTGCTCCAGCTTATAAGTATGTTGTTTGTATTTTTATCATATATTCCACTCATTAGCTTGTATGTCTCGATCATGTCTCCTCTTGTCCTGCGGTAAGCGAGGGTTGGTAATCCTAATTCTTTTAGTCTGTCCTCGTAAGATAAGTTTTTAAGGCCTGGAAGTTGTTTTGTTGCCCTTCTCTGCACTCCTTCAATTCTCTCAATATCTTTTATTTTATAAGGTAACCATACCGAGCTAGCGAAGTCTAGATGCGTTCTCACTAGGGTTTTATAAAGTGGTAGGAATGATTTTTTGTCCATAAAGTTAAAAGTTCTCCGAAGCATGGCAAACATGGAATTGGCTTTATTGACTTTCTCACTTATATGATCTTCAAACGATAGGTTTGAGTCTACTTTGATACCAATGTCTTTTTCACATTCAGAATTCTCCAGCACTGTATTGTTCAATGTATATATGGTTTCACTCAGATTAGGCTTACCAACATGCATGTATTTACATTTTTGAGGATGCACTTCCAGTAACCATTTTTTGCTCCACTTTTCCATATTGATAAGGTCCTCCTGAAGTATCTTGGTATCTTCCTCACTAGTTATAACATTGAATATCTTTGTATCGTCTGCAAATAAGAAAATTGATGACTTGACTTTATCTGGTAGGTCGTTCACAAAAATTACGAATAATATTGGTCCGAGCACTGACCCTTGAGGGATACCTGACATCACCTTTGACCACGCTGAATGATTTCCGTTCACCGTAACTCTTTGTTCTCTTGATGTGAGGAAGCTGCTTATCCAATCTAGCAATTGTAGTGAAAAGTTGTATGCCTTCAGCTTATTCAGAAGTCTGTTATGGGGGACAGTATCAAAAGCCTTTTTATAGTCTAGGTAAATGCAATCCACCGAGTATCCTTTGTCTAAAGCTTCGGTCCATTTATCCATTACTTCTAACATTTGGAGTGATATGGATCTTCCTGGCAGAAAACCAAATTGTCTTGTAGTAAACAATTTATTGACGTCCATGTGTACCATAATATGATCCCTCACAATTTTTTCCATAGATTTACACACAACTGAAGTCAGACTTACAGGTCTGTGGTTCCCTGGCTCACATTTATCACCTTTCTTATAAATTGCACTAATCTGTGCTCTTTTCCAGTCATCTGGGATTTGACCCTTCTTCAAAGTTTGGTTGAAGATGTAAGTGAGTGGGCTGGCTATTGACACTGCTGTCTCTTTCAGGATCCTTGGATGTAGATTATCAATGCCTGGGGATTTATCTATCTTCAGCTGTTGTAGCACTTTAATAACTTGCCCTTCTTTTATTTCTAACTCTGTCATATCCACTTTAACTTCCTTCTGTTCCAACTCCGGTACATCTCCATCTGCCTCCTTAACAAAGACACTTTGAAAGAACTCTGATAAGATATTTGCTTTCTCTTTATCATCATTGGTTTTCTGATTTTTATCATGTTGGTTGGTATATAGATCCCCTATACCCGATTCTTTTTTTGATTTTGATTTAATGTATCTCCATAGAGCTTTTGGGTTGGACTTCGCCCTTGTTCACAAGTCATTTTCAAACGCCTTTCTTATTTTCCTGGTTTCTCTCTTTACCTTATTTCTTATCCGTTTATAATCCTTTTGAATGTCCGGATTCCTTGTTTGTATTGCTTTCTTAGATAGAGAGTGTTTCTTTCTTATCAGTTGGATTGTTTTCCTGTCTATTGGGTAGCCACCTACTGTATGTCTATTATTCGTTATCACTTTGCAGGGTATGTGGTTGTTCACTGTTTCTTCTACAGTTTTGTGAAATATTTCCCAATTCTGATTTACCGAGTTTGTTTCCAAGAGCTTTTCATCCCAATCCACTCCGCTTATCTCTGCATTCATCGCTTCGTAGTTTGCTTTATGCTTTATGCAAGGCCTAGTTAATTTTTATTCACATAAACATACATATATACATATTTGTTCAAATAACATAGAAGGAAGTTTTGAAACCTTGTCAAAAATTCCTCGAATATTGGTAATTAGCTCTTGAAGCTATTGTCTGAATTCTGATTGTAAATTGGGAAATATATCCGGTTGGGGTATTTACGGAAATGGGACGAACTGGAATTGTACTACCGAAATGGAGGAAATTGCTACTTGTATCAGTCATATTTTAAGAGAATGGACCACCTAGAATCGTGTTCTTTAATGACAAGTTGGTTTGTATGTCAAACATATTGGATGTCTTCCACTCAGAAATATCTTCTTAGTTATTTTTAAAAAATACTGACTCACGGGGGAACTGTCGCCCGACTTAAATTACCGAAATAAAGACTAAACAATGGTTGGCACCAAGTTCCCTCTTAGATCTCTTGACTCATTTACACTGGATGGCACATAGTATGGAAGGTTAGAAATGATAATTCTTATCACAGACATTTTTACTTTACAATGCCTTTCTTTTCATTGTCTAGTATGATTATTTTTATGATTGTCAACTGATACTTCTATACATAACATGGGTATATAATAATAATAGACAACTTTATTTTTTTTAATTATACATTGACTTAATGACATTTCTCACATGTGGTCAAATATACAATAATCACAGTATAATTAAGAGACATACAATAAGTGCATGAAATAAAAGTTGATATCATAAATAAGACAAATATATCACAGAATAAAATAATGATATCACAGAATTAGTAAAAATTCAGTAAGTCACATGTGTATTCTTTAAAATGGTTAATATAAGTAAAGTATACATAAATCATTAATTTACAAATATATATATACATGCAATATATATATTTTACCTTAAAACTTTGGTATGTTATCATATATTGTATTTATTTTTTTATTGCCCGTGTAAGCAGGTTTTATCATCAAGGAAGAAGTTCAATATTTTCCTGGTATACTTAGGAATTAAGGAAGTTGGCTTTGTATATATATAACACTTGTTCTTTTCATTTTGTCAGTTAAAGGATAGGAGAACTACTGTTATGTGTTCTCTGTGAATACTTTTTAACCAGAAGAGAATTATCAATTTCTATTCCAGGCTTTTACTACAGAATTGCTAGTGTCGCTATGGTGTCACATGCTGTTTTAGTGGTATTACTGATTTCTTTGATTAATTGTATAAGGTAAGTAAAGAGAGAGTAGAACAAATTCACAGTGATTTATATATGTGAAAAGTAATTGTGTAACATAATTATATATAAGTACTAAAAAGGAAGTACCCAAAATTCACACTGCTGTATATACATGTATGTAGTACTGTAAAATCTGTCCTAACCTATCTATAAAAGTCATATTTTGGCTCCATATGTAATGTAATTCATAGTAATTGAATCTCTCTATAGAGGCCACCTATGTATGATCATTGTAGATGGTATGTGTAGTGTCTAACAGGATGCCAAAGTTATCATTGTAAGGATCAGTGTAGACAGTATTTGATGGTATGTGCAGTGTCTAACAGGACACCACAGTTATCATTGTAAGGATCAGTGTAGACAGTATTTGATGGTATGTGCAGTGTCTAACAGGACACCACAGTTATCATTGTAAGGATCATTGTAGACGGTATTTGATGGTATGTGCAGTGTCTAACAGGACGCCACAGTTACCATTGTAAGGATCATTGTAGACAGTATTTGATGGTATGTGTAGTGTCTAACAGGACGCCATAGTTACCATTGTAAGGATCATTGTAGACAGTATTTGATGGTATGTGCAGTGTCTAACAGGACACCATAGTTATCATTGTAAGGATCATTGTAGATGGTATTTGATGGTATGTGTAGTGTCTAACAGGAGGATCAATGTGTGTCACCAATTTGTTATTACTGTAATGATACCTTGAGTATAGTGTTTATCTATCTGCACATTGGTAAGTGGAAGGAGATTTTTTGACACTGAGTCATTAAAAATGAATCTACAGTGTGTAACAAAAGTTTGCATTTATGGCATCCTGACCTCTTATTCTTCCCTTACAGACCAAGTACCTGCCATAGTTATGACTGGGACCGCTTCATCTTCACACAAGAATGGCCAACAGCTGTGTGTAGCAGAGCAAATTCCACTGTAAGTCTTAACTTTAAAACCACTGACAATGATTCTTTTCCAAACTGTACTGGAGATATTATATGCATGTACTCTCTAAGAAGCTTCAGTTTACAAGTTCTTTATCTAAATGAAATGTTTATATTTTTCCATCTAACAGAAATTGAAAAATAAATCTTCATAGTTTTATTTCTGTACATTGTCATTCTAAAATAGCATATTTTTTTGTATATTTATACAATATCAAGATTAAAGGAAGGCAAATACCTTGTAGGAAATACTACCAAACTTACAGTCTTTGTATTTAAAACATCAACCAGGAAAAAGTATAATTCCAGGAAAAATAACATACTTCAACATTACTCCAAGGTCATAAGGAAGTCTTAACTACAAGTTACCTTTTATCTGACTGCCACTGTAAAGATATAACCAGGACTGAAATGTGTTTAATTAGTTAGTTACAGTATAAAATTATCTCACACAAGATATATATGTTATCACAGTTACTTATGTATATATAATTGTCTCACACAAGATATATATGTTATCACAGTTACTTATATAATTATCTCACACAAGATATATATGTTATCACAGTTACTTACAGATATATATGTATGTATATATATCTCACACAAGATATATATGTTATCATAGTTACTTACAGTGTATATAATTATCTCACACAAGATATATATGTTATCACAGTTACTTACAGTGTACATAATTATCTCACACAAGATATATATATAGTTACTTATGTATATATAATTATCTCACACAAGATATATATGTTATCACAGTTACTTATGTATATATAATTATCTCACACAAGATATATATGTTATCATAGTTACTTATGTATATATGATTATCTCACACAAGATATATATGTTATCATAGTTACTTATGTATATATAACTATCTCACACAAGATATATATGTCATCACAGTTACTTATGTATATATAACTATCTCACACAAGATATATATGTTATCACAGTTACTTATGTATATATACTTATCTCACACAAGATATATATGTTATCACAGTTACTTACAGTATATATATAATATATCTCACACAAGATATATATGTTATCACAGTTACTTAGTATATATAATTATCTCACACAAGATATATATGTTATCACAGTTACTTACAGTATATATAATTATCTCACACAAGATATATATGTTATCACAGTTACTTACAGTATATATAATTATCTCACACAAGATATATATATGTTATCACAGTTACTTATAGTGTCACATAGATATATATCTCACACAAGTATATATATATGTTATCACAGTTACTTACAGTATATATAATTATCTCACACAAGATATATATGTTATCACAGTTACTTACAGTGTATATAATATCTCACACAAGATATATATGTTACACAAGATATATATATATATATTATCACACAAGATATATATGTTATCACAGTTACTTATGTATATATAATTATCTCACACAAGATATATATGTTATCACAGTTACTTACAGTATATATAATTATCTCACACAAGATATATATGTTATCATATAATATAGTTACTTACAGTGTATGTTATAATTATCTCACACAAGATATATATGTTATAATCATAGTTACAAGATATATTATGTATATATAATTATCTCACACAAGATATATATGTTATCATAGTTACTTATGTATATATAATTATCTCACACAAGATATATATGTTATCATCTCACACAAGATATATAGTTACTTATGTATATATAATTATCTCACACAAGATATATATGATATATATGTTATCACACACAGTTACTTATGTATATATAATTATCTCACACAAGATATATATGTTATCACAGTTACTTACAGTGTACATAATTATCTCACACAAGATATATATATATACAAGATATATATGTTATCACAGTATATATAATTATCTCACACAAGATATATATGTTATCACAGTTACTTATGTATATATAATTATCTCACACAAGATATATATGTTATCACAGTTACTTCACACAAGATATATATGTATATATACTTATCTCACACAAGATATATATGTTATCACAGTTACTTCACACAAGATATATATGTATATATATATTATCTCACACAAGATATATATGTTATCACAGTTACTTACAGTATATATAATTATCTCACACAAGATATATATGTTATCACAGTTACTTACAGTGTATATATAATTATCTCACACAAGATATATATGTTATCACAGTTACATACAGTGTATATAATTATCTCACACAAGATATATATGTTATCACAGTTACTTACAGTATATATAATTATCTCACACAAGATATATATGTTATCACAGTTACATACAGTGTATATAATTATCTCACACAAGATATATATGTTATCAGTTACTTACAGTGTATATAATTATCTCACACAAGATATATATATGTTACTTACTTGTATATATAATTATCTCACACAAGATATATATGTTATCACAGTTACTTATGTATATATAATTATCTCACACAAGATATATATGTTATCACAGTTACTTACAGTATATATAATTATCTCACACAAGATATATATGTTATCACAGTTCACAAGATATATACTTATGTATATATAATTATCTCACACAAGATATATATGTTATCACAGTTACTTACAGTGTACATAATTATCTCACACAAGATATATATGTTATCACAGTTACTTATGTATATATAACTGTCTCACACAAGATATATATGTTATCACAGTTACTTACAGTGTACATAATTATCTCACACAAGATATATATGTTATCACAGTTACTTATGTATATATACTTATCTCACACAAGATATATATGTTATCACAGTTACTTACAGTGTACATAATTATCTCACACAAGATATATATGTTATCACAGTTACTTACAGTGTACATAATTATCTCACACAAGATATATATGTTATCACAGTTACTTACAGTGTACATAATTATCTCACACAAGATATATATGTTATCACAGTTACTTATGTATATATAATTATCTCACACAAGATATATATGTTATCACAGTTACTTACAGTGTATGTACTTATCTCACACAAGATATATATTTTATCACAGTTACTTACAGTGTATGTAATTATCTCACACAAGATATATATGTTATCACAGTTACATACAAGATATATAGTGTATATATATTATCTCACACAAGATATATATGTTATCACAGTTACATACAGTGTACATAATTATCTCACACAAGATATATATGTTATCACAGTTACATACAGTGTACATAATTATCTCACACAAGATATATATGTTATCACAGTTACATACAGTGTACATAATTATCTCACACAGGATATATATGTTATCACAGTTACATACAGTGTACATAATTATCTCACACAAGATATATATGTTATCACAGTTACATACAGTGTACATAATTATCTCACACAAGATATATATGTTATCACAGTTACATACAGTGTACATAATTGTCTCACACAAGATATATATGTTATCCATCTTATCTACCATCATTAAGTTATCAACCTTAACTCAGTATTTCACTCATCGTACCATCTGGAATCTGTTTCTTTTTGTGACAGAATGGTAGATTCCTCCTTTGGTTATGCAGAAACATCGTTTTAATTATAGATGTACAATGAAATGAATGGTATTGTCATATTTCAGGGACACATGTGTGTTATTCCCTCCGGAGTGAAAACTTGGGGTATACATGGACTCTGGTGAGTTTTGTATTCATGGATTTGCTGAGCTTGGTATATGATGCAAGATTGTGTTCAAAGGTTACCAATTATATCAACATTGTAAACCTGATCAATCAATACATCAGTGGACTGGAAAATGGCATATTGAAATTATTGTAACTTGGCAAAATTAAAATATTTTAGTACGTGGTAATGTTGATCACTTTTCAAATTGTGACAAGGATCATCACTGACTTATTGTTCTTGTAATTTCAATGAAGGAAATTCAAATATCAATTTTCAGAAAAGTACTCAAAAAGACAAGTGTTATTTTCCTGTAGCAGTACTTCCTTATTGTCTATGTAAGCATTATCTCGCCTGTAATGAACAAGGAAGTCCTTCTGTTATCTTGTGATACCCCAGCTGATATAAACTGCGAAGTTGTGTACTAGGTCATTTACTAGAGTAGAAAAATGAATGTTATAAATAAGTTTTCTGTTGATTGAGGAAGAAACTGATAGATCACATCTTTCTTAGGATTGAATGCATTGATACTCATTTTCAGTGGGTTGTAAGGAGAAACTGAAAATCAAATTATTAGGTACTTTACAGTCCATGTATTAAAGTTTGGAAGGGATGAAATAACAATAAATTCATTTTCACATAATACATTATACAAAATGCTACTAGTCATGAACGGCCCAGGAGATTTCGACCAAATTTGGGTTAGAAGCATCCTTAGGGGAATGGGTACATATTTGGGTCTTTTGCATCTTAGGGTGAAGAGGAATCAATATTGTGTAAACAGTCAGTAATACTGATACCAGTACATTGATATTTTATTTACAAAGAAAAGAATAATTTTGTTTCTTTACAGGCCTACGAAAGGACACAGTAAGGGACCGACAGGATGCGAGATATCAAAGCCATTCAATTTTACCTTGCTTAAGGTTGAGTTATATATAGAATTTGTAAGGGAAAAATATTTGTCTGAATATATCCCAGGATAATCAGATCCTATTTGTCCTGACTTAAACAAGTTGAAAATGTTTTGATGACATTAAAACTTTCTATAAACTGTAAAATCTTTCTTGAAATCTTATTTGAATTTCATGTAGAAAATTTGTAAACTAAATAAGATAGTCAGTCATTGGTTACTTTATATTTTTTAAAAACTTTGCATTCTGATAAATTCTGTATTTTCTTATTTCAGCCATTAATAATAGAACTAGAGATTTTGTGGCCAAACATCTTTGCAGACACAAATGAAAGTTCCTTCTGGTGTGTAAAATATGTAAAACCATTTTTCATAAAAGAACAGAAAAATATTTGTTAATAATCATTAATAGACATAGAAACAGTAAATCATTTTTGTTTTAAACAACTTGCTATCTGTATAATACTTTTTATGTTTGTGAATCAATTCATTTCCCTGAGGATTGAGATGTGACATTGGCAGGCTGGACATTAACATTAACATGCATGTTTAACTATTTATCAGATACAATTTTTTTCTTCTATAATTAAATGATTACCCTTTTACAGGAAACATGAATGGGATAAACATGGCCGCTGTGCTACCACCCTCCCTGCCACTGCCAATGAGTTTTTGTACTTTCAAAAAAGCCTACAACTTATGGAAAAGTTCAGCGCTTCCAAGTAAGTAAACATGAAATGATACCTTAATACACCCCTATTAGTGAAGGCTGCGTGACATCTGTAACTACAGGTCAGGTCTGAGATTCAAGGTTAAACCATGGTCTGTCAACTTTGTGTCAAGGTTATTTATATCTCTATCTGTATAGTTCATACGGGAAACTTCATACACTCACCATCAGCTGAGGTCATATAACTCATTTAACCTCAGGACAGGTTCTTGATACTTGGTAAACCATTGCCAGTCAAGGTAATTTGATTTCAGTAAGTTCAGACTTGGCATTTGAGGCTAGGTCACATACCTTCAATATTGGTATTGTTAATTTGATTTCTGTAATTTGAGGCAAGGTTTTTTGAGCATTGGTCACATTGCCGTCATTCAAGGTCATTTGGTTTATGTTTATTTATGTCACAAAACTATCGGTGAAGGATACATTTTATATGAAACTTCAGTCACTGTCATTCAAGGTTATGTATATCTGAAAATGAAGTCAAGGTCACTACACTGTCAGTCACAGTGATGTTATATCTGAAACTGGTCACTCCTGTAGCTCACACCATTGCCATTGTCTGCCACAAATTTGTGAAATGCATGTTACTACATAATTGGTCTAATAGACAAGGTCACCTCATTGTCTGAAATATCAGTCATGATAATGATACATGGTTGACATGTTATATATGCTTATATAAATTTTAAAAAATGTATTTTTCCAGGTTACTTCAGAATATGGGCATCTTGCCAAGCAAGACTGCACACTACAGAGTAAGTACAACTAGTTAAGATTAAGTTTTGAATGTTTTGGTGCTAATGTAACACGTGTTATAATCTTTCTTATTGAAAGAGGTAGATAGCTATGCTATTGCCTGTCACATAAATGGGAAAAAAATGTGTCCTTAACAAGGAAGGGGCAGACTCAGTTGCGCAAATACAGTTCAACCAATTTAATCAATCTTTATTAGGGTCATAATACCATATACAGATGTACAGGTGTGCATGTTAATAGGACCAATAGTGATTAACAAGGATGTACCCATATGAGGCCTTATTATTGGTGCTCGTATGTTCATCTGACGTGAATAATGCTAAGTAGTATGAATGAGAGAATGATGTGGTGACTTTTTCAGTCCTATAGTTTTCAAGTTTTAAGATTTTTATGAAACATGCTGTTTAGTTCATTCATTATCAACCATACACCAGGATAGTAGACAATTAACTTTTAATTAGAGGTATTTTCAAATTGCCTTTATCCTTACTTTGAAACAACAGTTTAAGATACTACAGATGACATAGTGATCAGATGATTTATGTGATTCTTATTCCAACAGAGGAAAGAGCTGGAGAACGACTTAACTGTAGATACCACGATCCCAAAGAGCACAGTACATACATCAAATGGAACTGTAGCTTAAAAAGAATAATAAAAATGATAAAAACCTTGTTAAATCCATGATACTAAATAAAAATGTTAATTGTAGTTGAATACCAGTATTAGTTTGCATTTTTACTGGAGAAATGTACGAGGATTATTGTAACTGATTATAAGTTGAACTATAATTGATGATCCCAACCTGTTTTCTGCAGCTTGACCAGATACAGTTTGCCCTGGAGCGACAACTAGGTAACAAGACTGTCGTCATTGAATGTACAAAAGATCCTGTAAGTATCTTTATCCAAGTTTCAGTAATCCTTTTATATGCTTATCTACTGCTTCAGTTAATTTCCTAACAAGAAATCAGCTTTATGTAATCATCCTATTTTTTCCTTCATTCTTACCAACCCTCTCTAACCACAGCTTTAGAACACAAAGAAACCTCTATGTTCTTCCTGCCAGTATTCTTCACATTCACTATCTTTCCAATCTGACTTTTCTGTATGGCACATCTTACAATGTTTTAAAACATATAATCTAAGCCATCTATAACATTTTAGCTCCATGTTTAATAGCTTTTTTTTTTTAATTTATAAGTTATCTTATTATGCCAGATGACAGTGGACAGTGAATCTAATTACAGAGAGGTTACATGGCTGGAAAGATGACCCCATAGATGTACCTTGTTTGTGAAAACAGTGAATTCAGTCTCATGATAGTTCATAGTTCCTGCTGGTTCAGTGCTAGAAACTTTCAGTATTCAAATATTAATATAACATAAAGACATGAATCTCTCACTATCTAATGCTTATAGTTAAATTTGGTGTTTGCATTAATTATATAAATATATCTACTGAGGTAGTAAAACTAATTGTAAAGCATCTGAAGATTTGATATAAAAAAGCACTTATGCTTTACTAAGCTGAATTTTTTCAAATTTTATTATTTTATATATATATCTATATATGGCCAATGAAGTAATAGCGACAGTACAAACATTGTCAAATTTTTTAGGCAATCTTCCCCTTTATCAAGACACAAATATTATAAATTATATCTTATACATGGAATATAAAACAAATACAAAGTTATAAATCTAAATCAAGAGCGGTGGTGTCTCAATAATCCCTTTGCCCGATAGATGCTGAAGACACTTCAGTACAGACAAAAAAATCCATCCTATGTTGTTGTATGGAAGATATAAGAATATCAAAAATGTTTTATAACAATCTCTGTATGTTTTGTCACTCTAGACACGAATGTGTATATGATCACAATGAAAACAATATATGTACATTTACAATTTCTTACTGTTAATTAACATGTTTCCTGAAAATCCATCTTAAAGCAATTTATTCTTTTATGTTTAGGCAACTGGACTTGACATGATATTTGAAGTGGAGATCTGTCTAGATAAGGATTTTATTCCAATAGATTGTTACTCTAGGCAGGATCGTGTGGACAATTCAGCCAGTGGTCATTTTCTCAGGAAACACCATAACAATGATGAAGGAAACTGCCCCCGCAAAGAAGCCTTTGAGTACCCACCTATCCCTAGACATTGAGTTGTCCAATCATTGATGAGTTATCATGTATTAACTTTAACAACTGCTGCTAAGTCCAGCTCTATTAATACATAGCAAGAATTTTGTACATGATCTAAATTACTAACGTAAGAATACTTCAGTTAAACTGGTCCATATTTAATTAGGATACATGTTGAGAGTCACTACATTATGAAAACATGGTGCATGGCTCTATCATGATCAATTCTTGCTTACTCTTTTGAAAATCTTTAAACTTTATAAAATCTCAACTTAAGAAAATAAAAGCAAAGTGCTAGATGTAGAAAGACTGTTGAAAAAATGTATCTGTGTATCTCTTAGCTCAATATAAATAAATACATTGTATATTCTTGACATACATTGATATGTGAGGACACCATGTGTGAATGTGTTGATGTTTGATTTTAAAAAATTCTATGCAATGTATTTCTTTCAAGCAGATACCTGATATATCAAAGGGTAATAATCTCCATTCAGAACCATTTTTGTCTCTGTATCATTCAGATGTATTTGTTTAAAGTAGAAAAAATTTTGAATATATTTTGGTTTGCTTTGATTATTAATTAGTTTTCACATACCTTATACATATCAGATCTGAGATTTACTTGTTTATTTGATGTTTGACTTCTGTGGCATTATTACATGTGTAAGTCAATAATGGTCACCTACAAATGTTAAGGATTTAGCTGTGATTGACCTTAGTAAGCTGTTTGTAATCTTGCTGCCTCGTTACAGGGATACTCTGTATGTATTATTTATCATAACTGTTCTCCACTGACTGTATTACATAAGAAATCTCTGCTGCCTAACATCATTTTTGTTTATTTATATGTAACAAACAATGGGAAGGTGATGTTTAATGTCTCTTTTTTTATATATACATGTCTTTTTGTTTTTGATCTGGTACTATTTATTGTGATCTCACTGATTACCTCCTTTGAAGAGTTGGACATTGTCATTTTTATACAGTTGGTTATCTAATGCCTTTTTAAAATTATTTTTGCTCCATTTTTCTAAACTGTGAACGGATAAGTTGGTCTTCATCCTTTTAACCAAAATTTCATTTTTTAGCGGTTATCTTTCACATTAGACAGATATTGGTAAATATCTCTGGTTTGATAGGACAAACTCTACCCTGATATGTTTGCTGCAGTTGGTATTGTTGTCTCATTCAAGCATTTAGATATGACTACTAGAAAATCTTAAAAAGCTGGTGAAGGAATTCAGTGATGCTTGTACTATATTAAATGGCTGGTTATCAATTCAGACTTATGATTCAGAGGAATTTTTATCTTTATAAAGAAGGAAAAAGGCATATGAAATTCTTCTTTTTGTCTGTAGTATAAGTGTTGTTGCTATCAAGTGTATTTAAATTGACATTGTCCAACTTTAAAGGTCCAAGATGTACATGTGTTAGATGTTTTGACATCAGTAAATAAGTGAGAGTGAAACCAATAGACCTATTATTTAAATTAAGGAACATATACCAAAATCATTTGTGTGCAATATCGTGTGTGAAGTATTACTATGGTTGTAGTGATTTCGTGTGTATTACTTGTGCTCTCTCGATAGTGTTTCTGTAATAGTCAATACCTTGATAAATAAAGTTTTTTTTTCACTGAACCAAAAGTAGTAAATGAGGATCTTAATGATCAATATGTTATGGAATTTATTAAACGAGTTCAATCACTTGATATGTCATGTGAGATTTAGAAGTCATTATATGACTATTAGATATCACACCCTTTATCAGTGTGAGAACCTGATATCAGCCCAAGGGCCTAAGCCTGTGTGAACTGATAATGGTGTAAATAATCATAATTTTTTTATCTCATGTTTTGGAAATAAACGAAACAAAAATGTAGATTAACAACACAGCAATTTGAATATTACCACCGGTATGAGTTATAAACAAAACATAGTGTCATTGTGTGTGTCCTAGTCAAGAAACATACGTCAATCACATGAATGAGTTGAACATGAATGCAAGATTCTATTTATCATATAACTTACAATTCTTAAAAGTAAGAGAAAATTCTCCAATTCACTTCCCAATTCTCCATTTTTCTGTTTTTGATTATTCTTTACATGGGCAGTACATTCTTACGCTTCCCAAAGGGAGAGCATATAGTCGCCACTTTGTCCGTCCGTTTGTCATCCATAATAATTTTGCCGAGCATAACAAAATAAACTATAAGAGGTATCAACATAAAACTTTATAGGTAGATAGATCTCAACAAGGAGGAGCGTAGTGGAAAAGAACCATCACTCTCTTTTGCATAATTTAGGAATTATTTCCCTTTATTTTTTTTTCATTTTCTAAATTTTGTCCAGTGCATAGTGATAAGAGGTATCAACATGAGACTTTATAAGTAGATAGATCTTGATGAGGAGAAGTGCAGTGCACCAGAACCATCACTCTCTTTTGCACAATATAGGAGTTACTGCCATTTGTTATTTTCCATACTTAAATTTTTTGCCACTCAGGGAGTATAAACCCTCTCTGACAGTCCTTGTTCACACTGGAGACAATGATGTGACATCATCTAAAGATGACTAATTTATGACATGACAATAGTGTTATTACACATGTATCTTAGAATATTGATAACATGGCTGTATGACATGAAAAACAGGCCAGTTTTGTAATATATGTATGCAACATTCATTGTTGTCAACCTTAATATCTGTGTCAGTTATCAGCTGGTGACATTTTGACATGATGAGTGTGTTCTAAGTGATTTCAGGTGAAGATTGAAACTTTACAACGAATAATTACTTTTGACTATATAATGTTTTTTGAATTGTAGCTAGTGTGTTTTGAGGAAACATTCCATACTTCTACATATATCTTGAGATCAGGGATAAAAATGATGACTGTACATCTTATTTTGTATATCTGCTGCCTGTATTAACAATGATGGTATTCACTAACTAACCTTTGGCATATTGACTTTGAATGATTAAATTATATATTTGCATTGATATTTGTGATATTTTTCTTTTGGTAATGTTGGAAATAAAAAAAAACCTGACTAAAGTCCCACTTTAGTAAAAAGATTAAAAAATATTGAAACTATAAACTAAGTGAGACAAAATACATGTATAATGGGCCAAAAATAATGAATTCCTGTAACAAAAGGGACTCTCTCAAAAATGTTTTGTATGCACAATGTTAAAAGACTTGCATAATCTTTAATACATGTATCTCAGAAATCTCTCATGTTATTGTATAGGATGACTGGATCAGTTCTTACCTATCTGTCTTTAATATATGGTATATACTTATGTTAATGGTATATGATAGACAACCTTGCCATCATTCATTATATCCATAGACTTACATCAAACGCCCCTATTAAGGCAGAAGTCATTGCCAGTACAAGCATCTCATATTGTTGACCTTGACCTTCATTTTGAACTTTGTCCATGGTGTATAGACCATGCTGCCTTGCCAACCTTCATATCTTCAGGTAATGAGTTATGACCTTGACCATGCATTTGACATTTGACCTCTATTTTATATGGACATTGACACAGAAAAGGTACACAACACATTGCCTTGTAGTTCTACATATATCAATGATTATTATGGCCCCACATCAAAATGTTCTTTTGTAATCAGGTTGTCCATTCTGGGGTCAAAGGTCAATGAACCGGTCACTTTTAATAGAGCAGAGTGTCTGCCAAATACCTTCAGTACTGTTGGAATGATTACATCCACAGTTTCTATAAATAGAAAAGTGAATATACAGTAATATAACATGAATATCAATAGTAAATAAATGACAAAGAAGAATTATTGACAAAAAATAATTAATTCGCCCAACCATAGGTCAAGGTCAAATTTGAAATATTGTACTGAAAGATATTTTCTTTTAACATGCCGCAAAGATGTCCGTAATCAAATCAGAAATTGTCAGACTACAGGTCAGAGTCACCATGTAAAAGGTCAATCTGAAATGTTGAATATTTCAGCTGTAAATATATTGCTATGGCATGGTGGAGCAAAGTTGTGTGAGACACAAATCGGTGCAATTTCTGACGGGTCACTGTTCTAGATTCACTGACCTTCCTTCGTTTAATCAGAAATTATGGCCCTAAAACGATGAATATTATGCTTGATATATTTTTTTAGAATAAAGATAATCATTGTGTCAAAAACTCGATAACAAAAGCAAAAAATGTTGAAGGGAGAAACAGGTTTGTTGCATGCAACGATATCAATTTTTCTTTAACTGTCATATAATAACAAATGACACCGATCATTTTGAACTCATGTTCGAAGAAACATGTACAGATACATAGAAACTTACAAGAGTAATACTGGATGTTTGTAGACCTATCTTAAATCAATAAATGATATGACCTAATATCGTATTGAGAATTGGGTTTCATAGCTTCAGTACATTTCAGACACTACAACAATAATCAACACACCAATTTCCTTATCCCGCTGTAGTCTAATAAGACACTGACTGACCTTTCGAATTGATTCCCTGCACAGTAAAAGTTTTCACTGAGATTATAACGTGATGGTTGTAAAATTGTCATGTTGTTTCCATCAATGGTAAACCTACATTTTTCAGGACCGCGCGATTCAAGCTGTTCTGTCATGAAAGTCGTCATAACGAGAATATTCAATCTCCTTTAACATGCAAACAAATTTTACAACGTCATCAGCCATATGTCACATTGTCACAAAACTGTTTAAGTAATATTTCTGATTTAATAGTGATAGTTAATCCAGGCTTGATATCTCCAAAAAAGCAACTCTATCTTCTTCGGCTTCTGCCATTGGAGTGGTCAATAGCACCAAATCCATGCCGCCTCGGCCGAGGTTCCGAATCGGCTACCCGCTAGTTTAGGCGACTAAGGTGTCCTGTACAAATAATTAGGACCTCTTAATGAAGCTTCAGAGTTTGTTACAGTGGTTGTTATCAGATCAACGGCAATCAGCTTCAGATATTATTAATTTCGTTGTAATTCAGTCGATAAATGGCACGGTTCAGATTATAGAAATATACTTTACATTATTTTTAAATCGTTCACTATTTGATACAGATTTATCAAATTATGGGTCAGGTGCACCTCCCTGTCTATATCGTCTCTATATTGACATTCATTTCATGCTGATAAGACATAGAAGGACGAAACAGATCTATGTTACAGTTTTATTCGTCATTTTGCTAAACTGCAATTTTTACACAGTTATCTAAGAACAACATGTTTGCGGGAAAAATTTCTATCACACACGAGTCATCTTATCTATAAAGAGTGACCTGCGCCGGAAACAACCGTGACTTCGTGTCATACGTAGATAACCCGCATTTAGGACAGACCAGGGACAGCACTATGTAACGTATATCATTAATATGCTGCGTTTCATATATTTAAAGATAAATGTATTTTTTTTTTTATTTGGTCAATTGTTACATTGATAATTAAGCCCAATATTGTGCAATATTTCTTGTTCGTATCATCCTTGAGGTGATGAGAGAAACACCTTGACCTTAGCAATACAATAAAACACATATTGGTTGTTGATGGACCTGTTGGTTTTGTTTTTGTATCTTTCCCCCTGTTCTTGTGTGTTGATCTAACATTGCTTACATGTTTGTCTAAAGAATCATTTCTCATTATTTCGTATTTAAGATGTAATTCTACGTTTTGTTGTTTTAATGTTCTCTCGGCTGCAAACTTCCACACATCTTAAATTACTGTAAGTTTTCCTGGTTGCTTAAAATCCTTGTATCTAATGATGAAATGAAATTTTTATCGTTTACCTTAAACAGATTTCAAACAACATGCGGATCCTTGCAGCTATATTCCTGTTATCCATATCGTAAGTTAATATTTCAAAGTAGACCGACTTTTTTTACTAGGGATATTCCTTGATTAGCGCATCAATAAGCACATTTAAAGGAAATAATGCGGTGAACGTTAGTGTGAACTTAGTCACATTCATATATGTTCTTTGTGAAATCCTTTTTTTGTTGTTTTTTTTAAAACTGTTTGGAAATCATTTAATATAAGGGAGATAGGTGGCTCGTCCGCGAGGATTCTGTGTTATAAAGATTGTACAAAAGACACACAAGTAGACAAAGAAAATTAGACAGGGAGACATTAGATCTTCAAATTGTGTTTGCAAGGTGTAAATAAAATTTCTGCTTACCAAAGAGTAATTCATGTTGATGTGTTTTCCAGCTCAGTTCAATCCTCCCATCATCATTACCCGGAAGGGTCCAGTTCCGACCATGACTGGGATATCTTTACGTTTACTCAGGAGTGGCCGGTGGCCGTCTGTGTCCTTGGCAGACAAGAGGTCAGATCTTAAGTAGAGGTCACCTTTGTAATGTAAGGTCAGACATTGAGGTTCTGACATCAGTACCCAATAATTGTCTATGTCGTAGCTTTAATATAGTTTATTATTGAGGCAATTTCTAGGATTCTAAACCTTCCGATTTCCTAGCTCGAGAGCTCGTTATAGATGAATAAATGATACAATGATAAATATGTTACGACATTATCTGTATATTGTATACAATTGTTATTACACTGACAGCACCACCGCTGTGTGATCCCACCCGATGTCCGCACCTGGGGAATCCATGGTCTCTGGTAAGTTTACTCAGACCATACAGTTTCTATGTTATGTGTAGTGATATAATATACTACATACGTATTTATTACATCAGGAGGAACTAGTTACCTGATATTGTGATATTGTATTTTACTTTTGAATTACATTTTAAAAATTACTAATAAAACACAAACTGAATGACGTGCTGAATATCAGCACACATTGTCTAACAAAGTACACAGATATCTTTCTGCTGGCATTCTTATACATTGTTCTGTTGGTTTGCATCTCCCCATATCCTAGTCGTTATCGATCACCTTTCTGAAACACAAATGGCTGTAAAACGTGTTGTTTTCCTGATCTTAGGCCGACAAAAACAGGAACTCGGGGTCCGACTTCCTGTAACAGTCAACTTCACTTTGACTTCGGTAGTATCCAGGTAAGTATTCCTAGGTTTAAAAGCAAGGTCCCCGATGTTGTTAATGGATTAATCCATAATTTCCATGAGGCTATAACAAAAGATATCCATGTGAAAGTGAGAGAAGAAACTAGTGTGATTCGGAAAGAATTAGATAGACTGAACATGGAGAACGAAAGGCTGAAAGAAATGGTGGTTCAACAGAGAAAAGAAATACAGACTTCTACTACAAAGGTGAACACATCAAATAAACTTGCAGAAAAGGCCATGTCCATGGCTAATTATAATGAACAATATAGTAGGAAAACATCAATAAAAGTAATGAACATGGATGACAGGATACCAGACAAAGACCTAGAGAAAGCCTTCTGTGAGAAATTTAAGCAGGAAGCTAAGATTGAGATCAAACCATGGGAAATACTAGCATGTCACAGGATCCCAGGCAAAACCACCAACAAGACCAAACCAGTGCTTGTGAAGTTTGCACGTAATGACATTAAACACCGTGTGATGAAGGCTCGTAAAGACAAAAGTTTGAGACTAACTTACAACATACGCGAGGATGTTACTAAACTCAATATTGAACTTGTACACAGACTGTATGAAGACGAGCGGATTGAATCTGCATGGTATTTCAACTCGCGAGTGTATGGTAAAACTGTGAAAGGAGAACGGAAAATGTTTGATATTTATGACAATCTTGACGACAAACTGAAGAAGTAACAGGAACATAGTAAGTTGAAAGTTTATGTTCCAAAGACTGTATGTTTGTTTACACTTGAATCTGCTATTTAAATTTGCCATATCACTATGTCCAATGCATGTACATCACCCCTTCGTCAACCACATGAAATATGACGACCCTATATATAATCCATATAAAGTTCAAAATTATTGATTTACATATAATTAGCTGATCTCCGTATATAAATCAATTAAATACAAAATGTATCATTGTAAAAAAAATATTAATAATTCCTGT